TACGACGATTTTCTTTATCGGAATATATTTCGTATAAAACTACATAACATATAAAAATACACAAATTTACAAAATTACAAAAAATCAAAAGAGAGAGAGCGTTATACTGCATATTGATCTAAAATAATAAGCTATTATTATAATAATAAACTAATAATAATAATATCTCGTCGGTGGTCCGCTCACGTTTGCTCGGCGTCGTCGGTAAATGGCAACGCGGAGATCCGCTTCCCTAGAAAACCGACGACGGGAAATTTGACGTTTGGTGATTGCGCGTGCCGCCGTCGCGTTTGCACGTGGCACCACTGATTAAACAGAAAGGTGGGCAAGCGAGTTCTTGATTGGCCGTCAAGCGTTGTTTACGTTAGAGAACCGCGGTTTGAAAGTCGATGCGACGATCGGGGCGAGACCGCGATATAATTTTCGGCATTTACGATCGGTGCCCCTCGCACCGGAGCCACGATGGTGCGATACGCCGCCCTGAAGGGGTTGTACGACTTGGAGAAAACGATCGGCAGTGGCGGCTTCGCCAAAGTCAAACTAGCGACACATGTTGCTACCGGCGAAAAGGTTGCCATCAAAATTATGGAGAAGACTGCCTTGGGCGTAAGCGAAACTCCAATTGTTTGTTATTTTAAAAAAAAGGGGGAATTTTTTATCGTGAAATTTTCTCAACGTTTTCTCTCGCTCTTTAATCGCACAATTGCTCCAAGAGCAATATTCATAATGTTTATACTCGAGATCGTTTATTTTGGATCTTGGATAGATCTGTGAATAATTAAGATCCTAGTCAATCAATGAAATGGCTGTATAGCATCTTGAGATCATGTTTAAGATAATCCTAAATATAAAAACTATGAATACTTTCTCAGGAAGACTTGCCAAGGGTGAAACTCGAAGTGGAGGCACTTAAAACATTGTTGCATCAACATATTTGTAAGCTGTATCAGGTGATAGAGACAGAGAGTCACTACTTCATGGTGATGGAATATTGCTCCGGTGGAGAATTGTTTGACCATATAGGTAATATTACATATGATATAAAAAATATTTTCTGCAATTTCCAAAAATATGAATATTAATGACATTATTTGTATTGCAGTTGAGAAAAACAGATTGTCGGAAGCTGACTCGCGCAAATTTTTTTGTCAAATAGTATCTGCGGTTGCATATATGCACAGTTTAGGATATGCTCATAGGGATTTAAAGCCTGTAAATATATTTTTATTTTTTGCAATATATATTTTATATAAATGGGATTATTTATTTTTTTTTCTCTTAACAGGAAAATGTTTTATTAGATAAGGATGAGAATTTAAAATTGATTGACTTTGGGCTATGTGCGAAACCTAAATTGGGAATTCAGGCACACTTATATACCTCTTGTGGTTCTCCTACATATGCAGCACCAGAGCTCATAATGGGAAAGAAGTATCTTGGTAATCAAGTTTTTGAAACTCTTCTTCATTTCACTGTAATTTAATATACTGAAGATGTAAAATTTCTTTACAGGTTCAGAGATAGATATATGGAGCATGGGAGTTCTTCTTTATGCTTTATTGTGTGGTTTTTTGCCTTTCGATGACAACAGTTTAGAAAACTTGTATAAAAAGATACTTGTAAGTTGTATATATCTCCATATTGCCATCTGCACATTAGCACAAATTATGCAATAAAATTATATAAATTGCATTTATTCCAGAGTGGTAAATATGAAGAACCACATTGGTTGTCTAATAACAGTAAAACGCTAATTAAATCAATGTTACAAATTGACCCAGCAAAAAGGATCACTATTCAGGAATTATGTCGTCATCCATGGGTTACAAAGTATTCTCTGAAGCCTATATCGTTTGTTCATAAAACAGAAGTAAATATTTTTTTAAGCAAAGACATTGCTTTTATAGCTCGGAATGCTTCATGAAATTTCTTTTTTTTTTTTTTTCATTTAGTTCGAAAAAGATGACGAGGTATTGAGCACTATGTCCGCTATTTGCGGTAGAAGTAGTGCAGATATATGGAAGAAACTTGTGCAGAGTGATAGAACTGATTACAAAACGGCTACATATTTGTTGTTACTTGACAGAAAATTACGTGGACTTTCATTGAAACTAACGTCTACAAGATCTCATCTTAAACAAGAAACGGTAAGCAAAAAAATATTTAATATATGAAATCGATATATTGAAAAAAGAAATTTTGTTCTTATACAGAATATCATGAATTATCCACAACGCGAAGCGATAGTTAATAATTTTATAACCAAACTCGACCATTCTCCAAGAAACAGAGTAAACAACGAGCAATCTCCAAAGATTGATGTTACTTATAACGTTCTTCCTAAAAAAAATGAAAATACCTTTGCAGAGCCACATATATCAGTAAGGAAAAGATTACGAAGCAGAGACTCTGACGATGTATCATCGCCCAGTAAGTATTTTAGTGCCATTGTAAAATCCTAATTCTTTTACCATCCGTATCATTTTTTTATCAATAGAAACATTTATATTTTTGCTGTCATCATTTTGTCTTTGAAAATTTTTTTGTGTGTTATTTAAATACATTTTATTTATGAAGAATATATCCATTTTACATACAACTTATCAAATGCGTTGCAGCCGCAGTTAGTTTCATATAGTAGTACATTTTCTAAAGTTTACTTCTAATTAGGTGATGCCAGCACCACCTAATTAGAAACTTTAATGAAAGTTCTCGACTGCCGTAAATTACAGTAGTCGCGCGAAAAGCAGATAATTACCTTGCGAAGAGCAATGACTTGCTAACAAATGTAATTTGGACTTAAGAATTTCTGTGTACGAATCCTTCCCCAAAACTCCTTAGAAGATATACTACTCTTCAAGCACTACATCTGAATCCTCTCCACTCAGAAAAGTATTAAAATTTTAATAGTATTATGCAGTTTAATTACATAGTTTAATAATACGATTGAATATATACAATTGAAGTTATATTGTCTTATATTTTTATAATATTTTATTAACATAGTTCCAGCGAAAAGACTGCCTGAGAATAGATCGGCTACTCCAACACAATCTTTAACACCAGATTCCAAGTAAGTTTATGAATAATATATAAAAATATGATAGATAAAATATTCAAAATATAACATTTTAGAGCTTCTCAAATATCTACACCTGGTAGTGCAAGAAAAGTTATGATGGGCCTAGAGCGAGGATTGAATCGAGTAAAATACGTTCTCACTCCGAAAAGACGAGTGAAGAACGAAAATACCGACCCTGAAGAACCAAATATATTATCGGGAAAAGTATGTTTTATATTTTTCTAAATTGGAAATAACGTTAAAAGAAATGTCTATCTTATAAATAATAATAAATTTTATTTCATTATCAAAGGGTCTTTCTAATGTATCTGCAACATGCAGCGGTTGTCCAAAACATGTTCTTTCGAAATTACGGAGAGCACTTCGACAAAAGGGTATAATGTGCCGTCAGAAAGGGTAATCATAATTTTGTTCTCACACAATTCACATTTTCTCAAATCAATTCATTTTTCAATTCACCATTATATTATCGAAAATCATACGTTGTAGATTTATTTTGCAAGGGGAAACTGAAGAGTCTTTTCCGGAAAATAAAAAGGGTTCATCGAAATCGATTTCCTCCCTAAATTCTTGTTCTTTCGAACTGGAGGTCTGCCTTTTGGAGATTGGCCCGAACGGTAAACGATTAGTTGGCATTCGTCGGAAACGGTTAAAAGGTGATGCATGGGTTTATAAACGTGTCTGTGAAGAAATTCTTGCTCTCACTACAGAGGATATATCCGCAGACTCAGAGATTTCTTCCGAGTCCAAGTGTCCTATTTGAGATGGATTCTCATAATAATATATACATGATGTAGATTTCTCGATGCTTGCGCTCTTAATATAATCTAATTATATAAGACGCATGTGCCTTGACCTCTTAATAACGATATAATAGTACTAAGATTTGTTTTTTAATAAAAAAAGATCGACGTTATGTGCAACAAATAATATAAGATTTAAAGATATACAATTTTTAAATATACTCAAGTGTTTAATTTAATTATCAGATAAAGATTATTTTGCCTATAACATGTACATTAATTTTTTTTTCTAAGAGAAAAATATACGATTAGATAGAACACATTTGTAAAAATTTATAAACAATATTTTTTGAGGTATAAATAGATTAGAGCGAAATTGTAATATAATACTACTTACATGAATATCAATCTAATAAATCTATTTCTTAAATATCCCTTTATTATCAATATCTAAAAGAATTGAAATTGTCTATTAAAGTAAGATTGATTTATTACAACAAGCGATATAATCATTTTTCGACAAATTTTGATATTAAGAGAAATAAATATTTTTTTTTTTTTTTTTTTTTTCTTTCTAATGCTCTCTTCCATGTATCACATCCATAAAACATCCATATTGATCCCAAGAATGTTCCGACTAAGGCGATGTTCGACTGTTCTATAGACAGCACAAAGAAAATTTCCTGCGCGGGGCATTTTGCGTGCTTCTTGCTTGCCCCTGCTGTCCGGAATATGTAAAGCTCAATTTCGCGTTTATACCGCAGATATAAAGTATCGCGGCTCGTTTGAACACCGGTCCGCAGGTTCTGCCACCGGCCGGTATAGAGCCGGTATAGACAGGCGAAGATATAAAATCACCACAAATCGATCAGCATAAAGTGGTGCCGCGCGTTTACTTCACTTTCGCTTTATGGGAAGACGAAACCGACCTTTTATCTTTGCCCGCCCAATAATCGCCGGTTCTTCCCCGCGCGTACAGCTACGTAGACAGGTATCCCTCTCTCGTGTACAGACCCCAATCCGATCGGCCGTTGTTTTTCCCCCGTATCGATTCGGTACCGGTGCAAGACAAAGCCAACCTGCTGCGGCTTACCTTGCAATTGCCGTACTTGCAGCGCATACGCTGAAGAAAAAAAAAAAAAAAAAAAAAAAGGATAAAAATGTGCAGATTGCCCGCCGAGTTGTAATATGACGATGTGAGGTATCTTTTGGAGATTTCTCCGCGGAAACTGAAATAGAACATTGGAAAAACGAGCGATAAGACGGAGAGGCGTTATGAAGAGGCATAACGAAGAAGAACAAACATCTATGCGAGAGGAAGAAGAAGAGAAAATGTTGCCCGTAATGGAGTAACTGCATCGCAAGGAGCAATGTCAAACTCCGAGGCGATTAATTTTTTAAAACAGGTTACTTTATAAAATTAATTTGAAACAGAACACGATGGGGATTTCCTGCTCGTGATGTAAATTTCTAAGCTGACCAGATATAAATTGCAATTAACACGTATCACGCGTGCGTGAGCGCACGCACGTACAACAAGATTCATCGTTGTCTTTAAAGAACCGACGCGAAATACAAAAATATATGGCCAACTAAGACTTGTCTTTTTTCTTTTACATATGGTGTTCGAGGTGATTTTGTTACTTGCGTTAATCTTTGTATCTGATACAATATGTACATTTACATGGTTGATTATATCACAATATTCAATGTTGAGGTATATTTTAAGTATAATTGATTATTAAGTTCTTCCTTTTTAGAAATTTTTTGATCTTTTGCAATCTCAGTTTAATTCTTGTTTAATAAATGGCGTCTTTTCGTAAGAGAGAGAGAGAGGAGAGAGAGAGAGAGAGA